CAGTCAGTCATTCTATTTCTATTTACAAATGGATAGATTTTGTTAAGAGTCTGCAGCGATTCGCTAATGGAAGCTGGATCCATGAAGTTAATTCTCATGAACTCAACTAATATTGAACTTCTTTGTTCAGTTCAGCTCAAGCCAAACAGGAACCTCATCAACTATACCCCCTTCTGAAGTTAGTGCCTGGGCGGAGTAAGAGGTCTTTATGCACTGATTGAAGATAAGCGGAAAGGCAGGTGAAGAACTTTTCCTTAGAGAATTGGACATCGGTTGCGGGATTCATATGAAAAAAAGTTATTAGAACGAAAGTGGTGGCATACCTTCAGTGCTTCAGTCACCGGTTTAAAGGAGTTTGTAGCCAGTACTCTTACGGTAAGCGGCATTTATGAGAGAACTGCTGGAATAAACTTCTTGGACTCGATAAGCGGATATTGGAATCTCTACGACTAGTCGTTCCTTTATGAAAACACATTCAGAAATAAAAATAAAATCTAGCTTTAGCCTTACTAACTATAGGAGGACATAGGCAAACATCTCAACGCTTCCTCCTCCACAACACCGAGCTAGAAGTACCTCAGCTCCGCCGCTTTTAGTAATATTTCTACCCCGTTATTGGGTGATAGTTAGAAGCCAATTCCGTGTCGCACGACCTGAAGAGGTTCTTCCCTATAAATTTGTAATAAAGGAATTTAAATATATGATATTCATGAGCCTCATTTTACGAGAATGGGCGCTTGCTAAGGGGCGCTTGCTTTGGTACCAATGCTTTCGTTCGATCATATTCTTCTTAGCAGCTAATACTTGTACTATATCACCTTCTACCTAACACGTCCAATCAGTTCTGCTGGTAATAGTCTCGTTGTACTTCAGACAGGTACCTTTAAAGCGAACTTTGTCAGAGTCGTGTGTCAGGTGGAACGTCACATCCGCTGCCTTTGCCTTTGGATAGTCAGTTACGGGTTCTCCGGATGCTTCAATTGAAAAGCAATTGAGCAGGCGCTTTCCTCCTCAGCTCACCTCTCCCTGCAGCGAGATGCCACAACCTTAAAACTTCCTGGAGGAAAGCCTGGTTTGGAATCCAAGTGTGTCTGTTTTAGCTATAGACTAGCATTCACTACTATCATGGCTTCAGTGAATAGGAATCACCATGAATATCCAACATATTTTCTCTCTTAAACACCACCACACTCGCCCAGCCACTAATGGTAACCAGAGAAAATCTGCAACTCAGCCCATCGGCAGGTCGATTACAGAAAATTGAAGTCAGTAAATTCCAACTAAACTAGGCGTATATCAATAACAACAACAACAACAATAAGTCAACTAAACATAATAAAATCTCAGCTAACAACAATAATGACAAGAGTGCAACCGTTAAAAATCATCATCAAAATCACCGAAATGAAATACGAATGAAAATCGCTTTGGCTGTAGCGACGATGGTGGCGTCGGCGTCGGCGCTGGCGAGTGGCAAGAATTCAATACCGTAAAATTGGCGAAAACAATTGAATTGATTCAGAAGCTCTGAACGACGTGCATGAGCACAGAATAATAATAATAGCAACAACAATAATAACAAAAACAAAAACAACAATAACAACAACAACGTGGAAAACAATGACAATAACAATGAAAAGCAGCAGCGCGCACAGCAGGATGTGCGCGAAAATAAAAAATTATAACAATAACAACTACAACAACAGCAGCAACAACAACAAAGATGGTGTGTAAGTTGTGCGCGGGAGTGCGAAATTAAAGGAGTAGCAGCAACAACAAAAACAAGGACACTGGTATTAATGGCAATAAAGGGCAAAACAACAAAGAGAAACGAAATAATAGCAAAGATCGCCGCAGGCTCCATCGGCATTAACAATAACAGTCAACAAACCGTCAAACACCAACAACAACAACAATGTGGCGGCAATCAAATTGACAACACACACAATGAGAAACTCAGCGGTACACCAAGGAAACGTTCCGTCTAAACTCAAAGCAACACGGGATTCCACATAGCGAGTAGGCGAAGATCCCACCACCTGAGTCTGAGGGTAGGGAGGGAGAATTGATCGAAATTGCCTACCTGTGATCCCATTGTCTAGGCACCCCGCTGACGGTGGCGTATTATAGGCGCGCGCGCGCACTTACTTACAACCTTTGTGAGAATTTTTGAAAATACTTTATGCAAGTACAACAACAAAAACAACTGAACAATGCTTTTTGGTAGCAAACTTTTGTATATATAATATAAGGAATAAATGTAATAAAGCAAACACCAAAGCACAATTCAAATTTATTCTTCAACATTCCTCTTCTCCTTCATGTTGTTGTTATTGTAGTTATTGTTGTTATTGTAAATATATAAATGCTATTCTCATTGTATGCATAAGTGAAAAACGCATAAAACGGCTTTTAAACAATTTATACTAGAAGCCAATTACGTATAACTCGCTGTAGCTCAGCGCGACTGTGTGGCGGTGGGCTCGACCTTGAACAATGTCACGGGCATACGGTGGTCCGCTCAGCCCGAGTTCTCTTTACATTTCAATAGGTCGATTCGTGAGCAGTCTAGAGAGACGATATTAGCTACCTCCCCAGAGTACCATATGGATCTCGGTTCCAATCACCCATATGAGCTGGGATTTTTCTGATGCGCTAGAGCGTCTTGTGAATTCTTATGATTCAAATTTCGCCAGTAGATCGCGCTCGTTCCTTAACCTAGTCGATTGATTTAATCAGAGATCTGATGACTGCACACATCCGCGCCGTTGCCAACTTACCAATATCTTGTTCCTGGGCATGTTATACCTACAAATAAGGCTTAGAGGGAACGTTACTACTCAAATCTTTTTTCCTCTTATGTGTACTGCAATCTCATTTTACCATCTGTGGTCAGGATAGTCAGAAACTCTAGAGATTTAAGATATTAAAACCATCGGAAACTTAGCTCGTGGTGATATTTTCGAAAGAATGGCCTACATCTGAGAAGTACGCCCGTCCAAATATAGTACGTTGTCGGCAGTTTTCTTTTCCATTGGAACTCCGTGGGAATCTTTTCTCCTCTCACCTTGCCATTTGAGATTGCCTACCTTTTTTTTGCCGGTTGAATGCAGAGATCTTACAAACAATCGATGCCTAATGGTGCTCGAATCAACCCGCCTGGCGTTATCGGTGTTTATCCATCTAAAAACCACTGTTGAAAAGGAAAATACTATATTTCTCATCTCTCTCATCATTTAGAGGCAACGGTCAGTCAATAAATGCACACAGCAGCGCCCTTGCAGAGATCTGCTCTAGCAGAAACTCTCCCGTTGACCCATCCGAAAGGATACACTAAACTAAACGAGCCCTTTTCAGCTATACATCCCAGAATCGCTGATCGAAACTTGTTACGGACAGTGTTTGACCGCCAGTAAGCTATTTCTTCACATCTCTTCTAATGAATTGTGTCATCCAAATGCTACCGCCAACTTAAGCGGAGGATGGTCTGAAGCTACTTTGTAAGATCGGTGTAATACCAGCATGTGTTGTTGTTGTTATTGTAACCGAAAAATATTCCTCAAAGTAGTTTTTGGGGAATGTTGCGGGAGTGACAGCCCTTGGCTGAATAAAAATCCGGGTCGTTCCCCTATAAAGACCAGACTGTCGCGGGAACTATTGGATTTTACGGCTGGTAAATTTTTGAACACCTAACCCGCCGGGGGTGCACAACTAAAGTGAGGATATTAAAGTGGTCTTAACCACTACCAACCTTGACTCGACCCTGGCATACCAAACGTAGGTCCTGTTATTTAAAGAGTAATCGTAATAATAATGTCTTCTGAACCCAATTTATCATACACCTTTTTCTCTTTAGTCCAAGCCCATCGTGGCTGGTTTCCAGGTTTACCCTTTAGATGTTTACTACGTCATCGTCATCAACGCTGGCGAACGAAACGCTACAGCAACAATAAAAGGGGCATAGCATTATATTAGCGGACTGAGGCCACCGAATGTCGGATAAGCTTTTCTAAATGTTTGTGTTATAGTAGATGCACTTTTGGGGTGGTCTCAGTTTTGAACCTTTGAAGGAGCCTTCTCGCCGCCCCGATTTAGCTCGTCTTCATAAGAGCCTTTCATTTTTCTCCAACAAGACTGCTTCGTAGGCCAAACCCTCATTTGCTATAGGTCTGGCTTACAGCCACCCGCTCTTCGAAACAGACAACGAGCTGCACATACATTTACCATAGGTCTACGTATTTAGAAACTCACAACGCCTTCTTGGTATTTTTTTCAATACCACACTCAGCAACAGTGCCCTCCAAACTGTGCTTTACTCACAACATGTTGCAAAGCAACAATCGAACATGCTCCAACACTTCAGCCCAATACGTGCGTGTGAATGAGCCGGTTGTTAGCATCACCGGATTAACAGTCTGTATACAGTTGGCGTTGACGTCGACGTCGGCGTCGCAGCACTTTGGCTTTGCTGTTTCACTTGCCCAAGGCACTCTACACCGCTCGCCTGCTGCTACTTGTTCGTGCTTTTTCGTGCTAACTGTCGCCGCCGTCGCCGTCGCCGTCGCTGTTGCTTTTGGTTTTGTCTTTGCCTTGGCGCTGGCTCTGACTTTGGCTTTTACTTGGGCTGTTTTGCTGGCCGCCTTGTTGGCTTGGCTTGGCTGGCTCGCTTGCTGGCTGTTTGGTTACCTTTGGGGGCGCGCATGCAGTCCAGTCTTCGTTTCGCCGTTATCCGCGTTAGTTGGTTGCTTGAAAATAAATTCGGTGATTGTCGTTTGGGCTAGCGCGAGTTCAGTGTGTGTCTTTTAAAAAATACACCAACAAACATACGGACATGTTCGTATGTCGTCGTCGTATGGTGACAGGTGCGCGTCGTAATCAGCAACAAAATATAAAATAAAATAAATGAAAGGAGAATTGAAATAAAATAAAATAAGAAATGAAATAAATAAATGAAGAAATAAATTTTGTGGGTTGAAAGAGCGTGGAATATTTCTTTAAAAGATTTATTATTATTTAAATTAAAAGCTTTCTTTTGAATTTTGTATCTTTTGTTTTGTTCTATTCAACTGCGGTCTTTTTTGTTTCCTTGTATTGCGTGCCGACGACGTGCCATTGCGCTTCCCGTGGTGATTTATGCGAATACAAAGTGGACGCGGTGTAATCAGCACAGCTGCGGCGGGTGTTTCGTCTTCAGTGGTGCGTGCGTTGCTTTAGTGCTACCAGAAATAAAATGAAATTGTAAAATTCTTCCTCTAAGAAATTCGCAGGAAAAATTTGCATAAAAGAAATTTTTTATTGCCTGATATTGAATTGGAAATGGAAATGTGGAAGAGCGTGTAGAGCGCGGAGCAAAGTGTAGAGTAACGAGCAAAAATAAACTTTCATAAAGTGTCGGAAAGCATAGCATAGCATTCTTCGCTTAGCTAGTTGTCTGTTGGCTGCTAACTACATGCGGCGTGATTTTGTGGGAGAAAATAGAAAACGTGCAAAGTTGCTTGCGGAAAAGCGGTTCAAAACAAAACGCCGCTAAATTAATGTATGTACGTATGCACGTTTGTTTACAGATTTGTTTGTTTGTATGTATGCTATGATTGTTTGTTTGTAAATACAATTTTTTATGGTCATTTCGCAGTGTCATTAATTGAGATAGTGAAATTTGAAATCTGTAGTGTGAGCATGAGTGTGTGAGAGTGGAGATAAAACTGATATAATAATAAAATGCGTGCCGGTTGTGTGTCGAAGAGTGAAATTGATTTACATGCAATCGGTCTTCATTGTATTTAATTGCATAGAAAATGAAAGGAAGAAATTAAAATGTGATAGTGATTGGCTAAAGAAAAAAAACTAAAGGAACATATATTAAAGAGATAAACAAAAATTTTAAACCAATAAAATATAATGAAAAATAATTATTTATTATATGAAATAGTAGAAAATAACAAAACAAAAATATGTAGTAAAAATTAAAAAAAAAAAATTAAAAATAATAATCAAATCCATTAAAATAAATGGATATATAGCAGTTATTCAATATTTAAGCCGAAATTAATAAAATAAACAAATTTGTAAATTAAAAAAAAAAATATAAACAACTTAGTGATAAATAAAAATAAACGAATATAAAAAATAGTTATTAAAATATGAATTAAAACAAAATAAACATTAAACAATTACATTATTAAAATTTATAATTAATTTTAATTATTAACGGTATTTAAAATACCAAATAAAATAATAAAAATCAAAAAAGCAATAAATGAATATAATAAAATAAAATTACTTAAATAACACAAAATAAATGTATTAAAAAATTAAACAAAAAATTAAGGAAATTTAAAAATAATAACGAAATCTAAAAAAAGTAATAAATAAGTGTAAAAAAATTTACCAATTAAAATACGAAAATATAAACAAATTTCTAACAAAATAAAAATGAAAAAAATATTTATTTAAAAAATTCATTAATTTAAAATATGAAAAAAAATAAAGAAATAAAAATATAAATTAAAACTATTTATTTAAAATATAGAGAAAAAAACAACCATGTAACAAGAAAAAAACTGTGGTCATTATTTTTATATATATTTTATATATTTTTTCTAATATGAAATATTACAATAAAAATGTATTGAGAAAATTAAAAAAGTACTTTTAAATGAAATAGTAAATGTTTAAATTGTAATTATAAAATAAAAATACTATTTTTTCCAAACAAAAATTATTTAATAAAAGTTATTTGCTCAAATTTATTGAAGTTAATAAAATGAAATAAAAAAATATAAAAAAGTAATATAATTGACAGACTGATAGTCATACAAAAATTAGCAAATAAATCGACTAAAGACTAGAAAATAGGAGAATGGATAATAAAAATAATTTAACTTTAGGAAATTAAAGATAAATTGTCGCAATCAAAGTTAAAGAAATGTTAATAATAATAAGTGTGTTTTAATTGGAATAAAATAATTTAATCCATAATCAAATAAATAAATAAACAGTGAGTAAGCACATGAGATTTATAAAAAATGCAGCCTGCTTAAATAAATCGTAAAATAGAACCTTTTTTTAATGGAAAAGAATTGTAAATTATAATTACTGTTATTCGATTAAAAACAAGAAATAAAAAACAATATTCCAAATTAAAGATTTTACAGATTATTACAAATTATATCGAAACTATGATCAGATTATAAATTAAAACTTTAAATGAATATTAGTATAATTATGAAATAAATATTTCAAAATTAAATAAATAAATGAAAATAACGAGATTTATAGCATAACTAAACCAATACTAATACAGAACTATGAGTTTGTAAGGCTAAAAGGAAAAATTTTTTTATTAAGAAATAATTATTGAACTGAGATAAATGTCAAAATTGATTATTGAGAAAATGCGTTATTTTTTGTTAAAAAATTTTTGTAAGAAATAGAATAAGAACAGCTTAAATTTGGAAAAGTGTTTGTTTTGCTAATTTCAACTAGAGTTGTCAGCGAAAACTTAAAAAAATTAAAAAATTAATTAATTAAAATTAATAAATTGATCAAAAATAAATAAATTTCTATACCAAGTGAAACTAAATTAAAAAAAATAAATAAATAGTACTTAATCGAAATGAAATTTAAAATAAAAAAAAAACTAAAATTTAATATGTAAAAATTGAACTGTTTCAATCGGAATTTTGAATTATATATGTACCAACATAACTAGAATTTGATAAATACCTAATATTACTTGGTAATAAAAATATATTTAATAGTTATAAATTAAAAAATTTCAACCAAAAACGATTTTGCAGTTGTACTGCTTTAAGAAAGCAAGATATTTAATTTAAAGAAAAATATAATAATTACTTTGTTAAATGCATATAAGTTTTTTAAGAGATTGAATTAAAAATAAAGCAAAAATTAATTAAAGAGAAAAGTGTCGACACCGCACAATTTTTTTTTTTTTTCTAAATCAGTGACTCCCTCATGTGACCTCAAAATCAAACTGACAGCAAATAAATTGAAATTTGCCTTAGAATATCTCAGCATAAATAATTATACGCCGTCCAGTAAGAAAAAATAAATTAACTTTTATGAACTTCAAAGAAGTAGGGAACAAAATGTGTCATCAAGTTTTACTTAAACAAAGCAATAATTAACTAATTAGCAGAGTAAATAAATTATGGAAACAAGAATCTATGAAAGAAGAACAAAAAATCAGCCAAAATGTAGAAAAAACAACGACATAAACAAAAAACTTATTATTAGACAGGTGTGTGTGCACATTATCGCAAGCTGGCTCGGCAGCAAAAAAATAAAAAATAAAAAAATGTGAAAGAACGATGTAAATTATAGAAGTAAGAAAGACAGAAAAGCGTTGTAAACAATTGGTTGTGTGTCACATCCGCTTTTGGTATGTTTATTGTTTTTTTTCGTTTATTCACTGGTCTCCAGATTAGGCTTGCGCGTGACACATGCTACCGGCACCAAGTGCACGCTTTTGCTTCTTCTTCTTCTGCTAAATTTTTCTTTACATTTTATGCTGCACCTTCCTGTTGCGTAAGTCTGGTAATGTGTTGCATGTGTTAATGCATTTTTTTTTTGTTTTGTTTGTCATTCCACAGCTTTGATTCTGTGACAATTTATTTGACAACAAGCTAAACTGCATTCATAAAAAATTTTTGTACCATTTTTATTCTTTACTATTTTATTTTATTTAATAAAACTAAATTATACTCTATTTAAAGTAATTTTTATTTTATTTTGTTTTATTTTATTTTATGTTATTTATTTTCGAAATCCATATACTTCTATTTTTAGATTTTATTTGTTTTAATTTTTCTAAAATCAAATTAATTTAGTTTAATTTTAACTTATTTTTGTTAATTTTTTATTTAATTTAATTTTATTCGGTCTAATTCTTTTTTTTTACCATTTTATTTATTTTTTATTTTTAATTTCATTTTAATTTATCATGAGCTGAGTTGAGTTGAGTTGATGTGATTACTGATCAGAGCGACCAGCGCACTTAGCGCTGAAGATCCGTCATTATACCCCGGTAGCGTACTTCTCATCTCATCTCATCTCATCTCATCTCATCTCATCTCATCTCATCTCATCTCATCTCATCTCATCTCATCTCATCTCATATCTCATCTCATCTCATCTCATCTCATCTCATCTCATCTCATCTCATCTCATCTCATCCTCATCTCATCTCATCTCATCTCATCTCATCTCATCTCATCTCATCTCATCTCATCTCATCTCATCTCATCTCATCTCATCTCATCTCATCTCATCTCATCTCATCTCATCTCATCTCATCTCATCTCATCTCAGAGGAACAAACCATTTCGTGCCCATTCCAGCCGTAGCTACGTCAGCCAGACAGTCAAAGAAGTGATGTCCTAGGTACTTATATCCTGTAATACTTAGGACTGAACAGCGACAGAGGTAGTGGTTTATAGACTCTTCCTCTTCTTCGCCAATGCGTCTACGACAAAAGTCATTGGAAGAGCATGCCACTCTTCTACCCTATCCCTATGTGCGGTCACCCAGATCACGGCTGTTTTGCGTTTAGTTGAAAGCTTGCTAAAAACTGCTTATGCATATCAGTGCCTCTTTTGATGAGATGTATTCGCATTGAAAAGAGCTGATTGCACCTTGGCTAACCGAGTATTATACTGAATGTTCGGTTTGTGGCCAGAGATTTCAGCAACTATTCTGCGGCTTCTAAGATGATGATGTAGTCTGATAGCCTCGAGCTAAAATTGGCTGAGAGCGTTAGTGTGCGACGCACACTCTTTCATCGAGTTTAGAGCCATTCGCGAAGATAGCTATGTCTGATCCGGAGCATTTGCATTTTTCCGAAATTTAAATTTACTCCGCTCCAGGATTCTTGGTGAGAACAGGTTGATACCTCCAAGACTGAGCTGCGTTGAATCTAACAGCGTTGCAACTCACTTGAAGTTAACCATAGAATTCCAGTTGAAAAAAGTTTAGAAGAGTTTCATTGAATTTTGATGGAGTCGAATGTGGAACTCCAGTAATAAGAACTGCTGAACTCTCTCCAGTTCCTTCTGAAAGTAGTTTTTTCGTGTGTATTTATTATATCTGTTTTTATTTTATTCTAAAATATTTATTTTAAATTATTTTACTTTTTTATATTATTTAATATAGTTGAAGTTAATTTAATTTAATATTATTTTATTTAACTATATTTTATTTAAATTCATTTTAGTTTATTTTAAATTAATTAATTAAATTTAATTTAATTTGATTTTTTTAGTTTATTTTATTTTAATTTATTTTATTGTACTTTTGAAACTATTTAACTCATTTGAATTTGGATTTAATTTTAGTTTATATAATTATATTTGTTTCTATTTTATTTTGTTTTAGTTTAATTATTTTATTTTATATCACAAAATAATATTCTATTCTATTTTGTTTAGTCTCAAATTAATTTGTTGTAGATTAATTTTATTTTATTTCTTATTTTATTTTATTATTAATAATATTTTATTATTAATAATTAATTAATTTAATA